CAGCATTATAAAAACAGCCAGCTACCTGAACCTGTATTTTTTGTTCCATCTCTTTAGGCTTCTTTCATCCCCAGTCTCTGATCCAATGACCACCAGTTCCCTTGTGTGCGCCCTTCACTACTCTCATCTTGGCTCCTCCATCCCCACCCAGTAACACGCCACAGTTACCGCTCATTTGCTTACATGATGTCCCATCTATTTTCAACTCTTTCCTTCCCTCCAAGAAACTGACTCACTTCCTCATTTCCAATCTCATACTAAAGGGAAAAAAAATAAAGACTTTTTTTGGTTTGCTTAGACTAGACTGAACAGCCTTATTTCTCTGACACACACACTCTTCCTAGATAAATCTACAGCTATTCAGCCTTTAACACTATCCATTCCTCTGCATTACCGCACCAAACCGCACCCACCCACCAAATTAAGGGAATAATAATTCCAGGAAATCTTTCATTTGAGAAACCACTGCTAGATTTTTAGCACACTTCTGGCCTTTCTCTTGAATTACTCGCTTTTAGAGCCACGGAAAAAGCAGCACTGAAATTTAATTCATGCAATCTTTGTTTTACAAGATAAGAACAAGCAAGGGCCCTGTAGTGCTTCAAGTTCAGCGTCAACAGCAAAACACTTGAAAATATCACTTGAAACAAATCAGTATTAGTAAACTGTGTATGTTTATGATCCTGCTTTCATTTCAAAATGTATCCACCCAAAGGCAGTTTAGGTTCTTGCCTACTACAGAGATATTCACCTTTAAACTTCAGGGGAATTTCCTGAACACGTCAGATTCACCCAGAATCTATTTATTCTGAAATCCAGAAAGCAGAATATTTTTTTCAAACCCAGGGGGCCTGTTTCGGTTCCATTCTGCAGTTGATCAGATCCATGTTCTCCTCCTCTTCCATATTTCATTTAGTGTGGTTATCCCAAAGCACTTGCTAGAAGCAATCTTTCATACAAAGGAAATACAAGGTCTACAGTTATAGCTGAGCAAAGAAATGGGTGAGGATATGCCCTGCCCTTGTCCTTTCCTTGCAGAACTAGCAACAGTCAAGTCCTGAGTTTGTGAAAAATTAAGTGGAAAAACGCAAAAAGGAAATGAAGTATTAAAGTATTGACATATTTATGAAGTATTTATTATCTGTCAAAACTATATAAAAAGAGCAGCTTTTAAAATACTGATGACACAGCACATATACACATTTCATCTCTCAAAAATACTGAATTAAGATTCTAGACCAGTCTCCCTTTAACCACCCATAGAGGTACAGTTTTGCAGTTAGAGCCCAAAACTCAGCCAGGGTGGTTGGCAGCACAGGACGAGCAGGGCTTTCCTCCCCTGCTCCCCAAGGATACCATGATTTTCAGAGGAAGTATACTAATACTTTGTCATTAATACGCACATGGCTTAAAAGGAACAAAGATTGGTCATCCAATCGCACACAAATAAAGGATGTGCTTTATGTTTCCACTTTATAACACAAGCCAGGAGTGCTTGCTGAATATTGAGGCTGGCCACAAGTGTTTAACAGCCTAGGTAGGCAGGTGAGCGTGCCTCCTGCCTGCACAGGCAGCGTCAGGTCCCAGTCTTGTACTTGATTCGGCTTCCAGCGACTATTAAAAAAAGATTCCTCTCAATTAATCCCCAACATCCCCTTCCTTTTTTTGGTTGTTGTTATAAAGGCTACAAAAGTCACATACCACAGCATCTCTTCTATTACGTGGGATGGAGAAGGCAAACCCTTAGAAAGTCAGCCAGTAACACAAGTCCTGGTGAGAGCACCTGGAACCGCTCAGATGCTTCCCTAAATAACCCGACACGTGGACTGTGCCATACATACATACATACTATTCCAAAACATCAGAGAGCTTCAAATGTGCATCTATTCTTTCTGGTTTTAATCAGTGATTACTCCACTAGTGGCTAATTACACTTCAGGGTGTTTAAAACAGAGGATATTCCACAGAGGTTTTCCTCAAACAAGCATCTTTCTTCCAACCTTGAGAAGACAAATGAAGATTCACTAAGTTGTCTTTCTCTGCTATTTTTGTGTCAGTCCTCTAACACACATTATCACCACCCATCCCCAGATACGCCATAGCCATGGAGCCAAATGGGGTCCTGGATACAAAGCGGTGGTTCACAGGACATCCAAAACAGGCTCCAGGAGCACAAACGAAGATGTCAAACTTCTCAAAAAGCCATATGCTTTCACAAGGATAAAAATCACTCTGCATAAGCGAAGTTAGCTGCCCCTGCAGAACGGATACATGCCAAAGGAAAGAGCAGCTTTCGAATATCCTGAAGAATTTAGTGTAACCAAGTCATGACATCTCAAATTTTTAATAATGGTGTTCACTCCCTGAACTCAGGGGAACTACACAATTTATAGCAAAGTAGTCCTTCATATTGTGAATACAAATGAATCCTATTTACAAGCACATCTTATGTCAGAACACTGCATACGTGGCAGTAAGGAAAAAGCGAGTATCATCTGTTCAACGGGGAGCTACCAGCTCACAGGCGTACACACTGCCCAAAAAGAGACTTTCATGCTGCCTTAACATACTGCTATAATTATTCCATAGCTTGCTAATCATAGCGCAATGTGGGAGCAAAGGAAAATGCATCATTATTGTCTAAGTGCTGCCCTACATATAGGGAATACATTAACCTTTAAACATACAGACTGCTCTATCAGAGGGAAAAAAGAAAAAAAAAAGAGACATTATAAGTTTTGTGGAGCAAGGGGGTGTGTAATTTCCAAAACCACTGCACACAGAATAAGCCTGTCTTTTACAATAACCTCAGAGCACAGGAAAAACAGAACTGTCACAAATCCTAATCGTAGTATATTTGCTGGCCGATCACAATTTCTTCCACAGTAGATCACTATTAACATTCTTTAAGTTCCACAACAGCACTGTGAACACACCTTTACCAAAAAAAACAAAAAAAGCAACAACAATACAGTCAGGTACTCTTCCGTGTTTGAAGCATGTACTTATTTCAGCAATATACATATTTCACAATAAAGTAGGAATTGAAGCTTTAGCATGAAAAGAATATCAGAATTTTCAGTCCAAATTTAAAGACTGTATACAAATAAACGCATGTGCTTTCGTGGTCAATACTGCAGCTCTACCAAAAAAAGGAGAAAATCTTATGCTATAAATTCTAAATTAATTTTATGAAAGACTGCTGATGAGTACCAAACAAGCCCCATTGGCGCAAACATGTTAAATTACTGGGAATACAGAACCAGGAGGTTTCAAGTTGCATTCATTTAAATACACTGTCTGAACAACACTTTAAGCATGAAAAAAAAAATAAATAAATTATGTCATAATTATATTTGTAATGGAAATTTTTAGTGTACTAACCAATATAAAGCATTCATTTCAAATAAAAGGAGTAGCCAGCTTTATTCCTCTGTTAATTGCCACGTGGACCAATTTCTTACCACACAGCATGTTGGCTATAAATCTTAACAAGCAGTTTTAAATTGCTGCTATTATTGCTCATCAAGACCGAATAATCCTGGATGCTGTTCAGGGAAGCTTCTGTAACGTCTATCACATTCCTCATTTCCATAGGGATGAAATTTCAAGCAACAACCACCAACTCCTCCACTGTTTAAATGGGGGGCCACAGAAAAGATGCAAAGAGACTGCAAGATGGGAAATTTCGAATATTTCTAAGGACAAACTCTTCCGCATGGGAGCAGTGCAGCACTGGAACAGTTTGCCCAGGGAGCAACCTCCATCCTCAGAGAGCTTCACAATTCAGCAGGTTGTGGACAACACAGTCCACCTCTGACACTATCCCTGCTTTCAGGAGAAGGTTGGATAAGGTGACTTCCAGGGGTCCCTTCTAATCCAAATTCTAATAAAAAGCATAGTTATCCTTGAGCGGTACGATTTTAGTATTTGATGCAGTGTAAGAAACAGTCTTTCTTGAGCAGATTTGAAATTCGCAGTCAAAATACAGGGACAATTCACTAGCTATACAGTTATTAAACTGACCCGACCCCCCTTACTACTATTTTTTAGGAAAGGCTTTTGAATTAATAGGCCACTGACATTGCTGCTTAATGGTGTAAGATCTGGAAAGGATGGGGGAGGCAACACCACCTACCTCCCTTCTCAAAAAAATAAGATAATGGCATAAGCTCAAAAAATGTCATTGAAAACAGTATTAGCAGTACAGCTACGCAAAGTCTATTCCCTTTAAATTTTGATTTAACTTTCCTGTATTTACTGTAGACAGCGTTATACCTAGGGAAATATCTGCTTCACTTCAAAGCTGTATTTGCTACTAGCTAGACACCCTCTTCACAGTCTATACAATCTGAAAGGTCTTTTATCACTTCTCTCTTCAGACTTGTTAAAAGATTTTGTGTGGGCTCTCTCATAAAAAACACAAGCGCTATTTATCATATTTGCACAATTTTACAGAGAGGTAAAACAGCAATCAAAAGACTGTTTACATGCTTTTATTCAATACTACATAATTAACCAGCTCTGCTTCTAAAGAACCAATTTAAAATTCTGCTCAAAACCAGCCTAACTTCTCCAAGCACTATGCAACGCCTGTACTTCTCTACTCATTTTCTATCCCTCCTGATGCCTGTATGAAAACAGAATAGTTTTTCGATAGCGATCCACTTAATTTGTTACTAGTTTTCAATCTAACTTGGGATCTCTCATTTATACTTACTATTTGGTTACAAGGAAATATGCATATATATACAAAAAATATAAAAAATGCTGATAAATGACTGAACAGAGAGAAAAATCTCCTGAACTTGCAAGAAATTGATGACCCATTCTGAGATATTAAAGTACTATAACAGGTACAGCAGTCAGGTCTGCAACTTCTCACTCTTAAGTGCTCCACTGTATTTTCAGAACTGCATATCACATTTTTTTTAGACATGAGAGAACAAGTTTTCCATAATGCAAGCAATGCTCCTCCACACATTCGTGTATTCTCTCACCTTGGATGCACTGCAGGGTTCCATCCTCAGCCCTTATTGTAAAGGTTTCACCTGGATTAACTTGAACCAAAAAGACCTGCCAAAAGAAAAAACACATTTGTTTCACTGTGATCTTCAGAAATAAAATTTCCCCAACCCAACAATTGTGTTATCCGTACTTTGGAAGAGATACGGGGGGCAGGGAGGGAACAGACTGGTATACTACAATCTTTGGGTACCAGCACGGTCCAAGAGCCAGTAGAGATTTAAAGCATAACTACTCATCTGAATTTTAAGAGCTGAAATAAAGATGTAACTCAGTTGTGTGCAGGCGAGAATTATGGCTTCGGGTTCCACCACCTAAGTCTTGACAGTGTGTTTAACTTGGCCAAATGCTGACAGTTAAGGACATAAATCTTTAGACCATTGGCACATGAGAGCAGAGAGCACATAAACTCCAGCATGCAGCACCAAGCCATATCAGGATTTTAAGTTCACAGGAATAAAAGTTTTTTGAAGTGTAAAGGGAGTTTACCCATTACATTTTTAAAAATTTATCCTTCAGTCCTACACATAACAGATCTCAGTTAAGCAAAATCCATAGACACACACACAGTTCAATAGTTGCACACAGAACCAGTAATCAACTATTTATTTTGTAACAAATATAATAATTTTTTTTAAATAATCAAAATATCACCCCAGTCTCCCATTGCTGAATTCTGCAGACGATAGGAATGCTACAAAGACCAGGAAGCACCAAAATGCATCCCAGTTCAGTATACACTGTACCCATCTTTATTAATTTTCAGGTGTCTAAAATGATGGGTTTAAAACTTACGATTTAGATTTCTTTCTTTAATGGAGAGTTTCACTGGGAACTAGTTATCATTTATCCCATGCTCTTACTGCTTGTGAAACTTTTACTCAAATACTTTAAACACACTTCTGTTAACTTTGCATTGTCAGAAGTTCAATCAAAATCTGGATTAATCTTGGTATAAATTGAAAATTTAGATTTATATCTTTTTGTAAAAACTCTCTCTAAATTTAGGTCTGGTCTTTATATTCTGGGACATCTGCATGCAGAATTTAATTATTCAATCTGCAAAGACAAAATTTGAATTAGTGTTGTGTTTCTGAATTCCTTAAGCTAAATGCATAAGATAATTATTACCTAGATGACCTTTTGAATTACAGTAATCCTACAGAAACCCATTATTCCAGCCATTTTTAAAGCACAAGCTGGAAATCAGAAAAATGACATATGAAAGCCATTATTTTGTCTGCAACAATAATTTCTCAGGGAGCACTGGTCAGGGTGGATCTGATCCAGCATACAGAGCACAATAAATGGTTCAGGAAAGATAAGAGGCACAAAGCCATTCCATCCCTAATCTCTGAACAATCAACATTTAAGTGACAGCATTTAAGTGCTCTTTTGCTATGAATAGGCGTGGATTATCCACAACAGGATACTGGCATCGGGTCAAAAGAAGCGCAGAGCAAAGCAATGTCATTTTGCTTAAAAAAAAAAAAAAAAAAAAAAAAAACCAACGAAAAAACCAACCAACAAACCAGAAACCTGAACACAAAGAGGCAAAGAATCATAAAAATATTTCATTAGCTCACTTGCATTATATGTCTAAACCAACAGCTCTAAAGCTGGTTATTTATTAACACGCTTGATTAACAGAGACCAGATGGCTTAGCACAACCATCACACCTTTGGAAGAACTTGGTCCAACTCCTCAAAACACATACCCTAACTAGACTGATGTCTCGTATATGAAAACCTCGATCTTTTCCCTAAAGCAGGGAGTTGAGTTTAATAGATATAAGACTGACCGTGAGAGAGGGATTCGTCTTACTGCACGAGGCACGTGTCTACAGAAGAGTATGATTTACAAATTCCTTTTCAAGGAGTCATTGCAAAGGTCCATCACCAGCCGGAGTGTCTGCGTTAGCACACCTGCAGTTGTGCTTTGAAAATAATTCCTTGGGTTTCCACATTAAAAAAAGATTATACCCCCAATAAAAAGCTGTTCCTTATGATGGTTGAAATGAAGTAGCATTATCCTTGCCTAATTATGCAGGTTTTTAAACACAAACAAATTGTTCCATCAACAAATTTGTTTCCCCGAAGGGCAGCAGCTGTCACGGCTTCGTCCCCCCATCATGAGCCCGCGGGGAGAGACTGGGACTTATATATAGTAGCTTCTATTAAAATGTTATATATATGGAAGTAATTCCTTATTGGCAGTTCCAAGAGTACAACAGCTTAAAGATTTCATATTTATTTAAAATAAACCTCAGCACTAATTACTGTCACAAAACATGGGATTAAGTTGGTCAGAAAGCAAAATTTCCCCATTGCATGCTGCCGGATAACAACCGTCAACTCTACTCGGCCTGTCTGGAGTAGGGACTATACTATTTTGCCCAAATTTTAAGTACGGCCCAATAAAAACAAAAGACCGCAAAATATTTTCACCCAGAATCTTGTTTTGAGGTTAAATATCAAATACATTGAAAGGATAGTATTTTTCAACTATTAGCTGTGCAATTAAGCCACAGGCCTTTTCAAAATCATATTGCTGCTGGGG